GCTGCGAAGTAACAAAGTACAAATACTTCAATACTAGGGGTGGGTAAACATATTGATTCATCAATGCATTGTAATATATTTTTTCCCAATTCAATATCGATTCATTAAATCCTCTGAATCGATTCAAGCCCCTGGCCAGTGGGGGTGCGGATAGCAATACCTTTGTGCCAGGCAGTACTAAAATACTGCAATAACACAAAATATTTGCGCAACCACTGAAACCGACACCATGCAGATGCTCTGCAGCAACCCGCGGCTAAACCTGTGGATTCAAAACAGACGCAACTCGACAGATCCTTCCTTTGCAAACTGTTGCCAAACTCTGCCCGCGCACAGAGGATAACGGAGTCTGTGGCCATCTTCATATGTAAGGACCTACGACCGTACAGTGTCGTGGAAAACGGGGGTTTTAAGAAGATGGTATACTATTCACACTCGAACCACGATACGCCATACCAACACGCAAACCCATGACGAAAGTCGCCATCCAGAAGCTTTTAAAATTATCAACAGGTACTCTAATGAATTATTTGTGTAATTCTACTTATTACTGGATCAATATCAAATCGAAAACGAATCGAATTGTGACCTAAAGAATCAAAATCGAATCGAATCGTGAGGTTCTTAACAATACCCAGCCATATTCATTACTGTACCTAATTAGTTAATTCAGGTATCTTTACTATGAGCATTTATTTTTCTGCAGTGTTTCCTCTAGGATTTTTTTTAGCAGTGGGGGCAGGCCTGTCCAAACACCCCCCGTCCCCGTTTAATAGTCGACTTGGAAGAAAGCAAACGTTTTGACAATAAGCTCCATCAACACAACAGTATGTGGAGTTAAACTGGACAGCCCTAATAACCTCTGAATAGTTCTACTTGTTGTTAAGCTGCAATGTGAGCAGCAGCCAACAGGGGTGCATTACGTCGGCAGGATCATTTAAAAGGCAACCGTGACTACATTGTGCGGCTGCACCATTTGATACCGTGGCGGCAGAAATTTAACAGTGGCGGCTCCAAAATCAACATAGAGGAAACACTGTTCTGACAACCTCTTCCTTTTCCTTTCTACATTTTTACATAATATCTGAAGTTTCTACTCCTTATATTTTCAAACAGGCTCCTTACTTTAGTTTTAATGCATTTAAGGGGGAATTATTGATTCTTATATATTTTTTTGCATCATTGCACACCTTGTAACTTCCAAAGTGCTAGAGATTCACCTGTACAGCCTTGGCAGTGGGACAGTTGCTGTCTGTTAGCCAAACTATGCTAGTTGGGTTAGCCCCTGAATGTACATGTAAACACAATGAGACCAGAGCTGTAGAGCCTCCAGTGTCATTTAAATCTATCATTTGGAACTGTTCCATTTCCTACTAAGTTACAGCAACAATGGAGTTATGCACCAACAATGGATGGACCTTCAGGGCTACAGAGAGCTGCTGAGCTGTATAAAACAGGGAGGAAAAGAGTCTTGAGTGTGTATACCATGAAAGAAAAATGGTTGAATGGACAAATTTACTTTATATTTTTATACTATGCCGGTTGTAGTATAGGGTATAGGTTGCATATCCAACAAATTAATGTCTTAGGGCTTTTGTTTTCTCTACAGTATCAAATCATACTGTGACCCCAAAACCAAAATACCCACCAAACTGTGGTGTTTTTTTGTCATTACAGCATAGAGAGACGTCCAACCACACAAGGTTTAGTGGGCGTTCAGTCTAAAACTCCAAGTCAGATCGTGGTTAAATCAGATAATGTGAACTTCTTGTCATTATTTAAGGACTGAACCAAGACCAAAAGGCAGAATTAAAAGCACATTATGCGCTGTCACACATGATGTATGGTCACCCACACTGCTGCTTTATTTCCCTCCCAAAACCTCTGCCTATATGTCTGCCCTCTTTCACATAATCCATGTATTGTGACAGAGTGCATCTCTCTTGGTTCAACACAGTTCTCATTTTACAAAATTTCAAACTGTTCTTGGACTCCGGTACATTGACGGGACTTTGTGGACGACTCTGACTTGAGGAGGCACAAAGCACACTCTGCTGCTAGCTGTCGATAACTAATCTGACATCAGTGCCATCGTGTTCTACTCTAACCTAGCTAGGGACCTGGCACGCTAACACACGGATTAGGAAATAACTGAAACATCTCATCTGCTGCAGTTTTAGCCTGGAAAATATGTGGCATGGGGATAAGAAAAAAAAAAAAGCCTTCAGTTCAGGAGGAGGGATACATGAGTAATCGTATAGTGGCGTGGTTGCAGTGTGTAGTGGCTTAACCCCCGCGGCGATGGATGGGCTGACCTTACTGCTGCACTGCGGATTAAAGATGGCAGCAGCAGAAACAGACAGCTGGGTCAGGTCATATACTGTGTAAAGGTATAAAGGAAAACGACACTTTAGCTTTTAGCTGTTTGCATCTGCTGCCCTGCGGGTCAACCTGAAATAACACTCTGCTCCAGAGACAACAGGTACACAAGGTGGCCTTTTATAAGGGAAGTGCACACGTTTCCCAGTATGGAATACACAGTCCACGTTAATGCACCACAGGTATGTGTATGTACTTGGAACAGCAGGCTGGCCTCTGGCAAACAATCCCAGCTAGTGGTGGCCAGCTGGTGGGTATCGGTGTAATGTATGAGTGTGTCCCTATGGTGCACATGCATTTAAAGACAAGGAAAAATCCTCCACAGTGACGGTGTTCTGCAGTGCATCCATCTGCTGTCAGTATCTACATATTCTCATAGTGTGCACATGCAAGTAAACACGCCTGAATTCATCTGTAAGTTTGTTTGTGTGAGGTTACAAATGAGTGTGTGTGAGTCGAGCGGAGTGTGAAGAGTCGTACCTCTGGTTTTCAGCGTATCAGGATTTTTTTATTTCCTCCACATTGCTTTGTGCGCCGCCAAAACAGAGGCCCTGCAGGGACATAGAGACGCTCAATTATTCATCGTCCTATTCAATAAAACACGAATATCAACTGCGTGTGCCAGACGCCGTCATTCACACTTATTTGCAAAAAAAATGGGTCTTGCAGTTTTTTTCCCCAGAATGCTCTGGGACTATGCCAAGGGACTGTCAGCCTCAGCTTCTATTAGTACAGCCTTTCTGACCTATTATCATTGTGCTAAAACATGAAACAGGATGATGTAGAATAGAGAGGAAGAGGTTGATAAACACAGATTTGTCCAGCTGGAATAAATGACCACAACAGGTTGCTGCCGACAACACACGAGCTGCCAGCTTCAATCAAAAGCCAGTGAGATGGCCTCGTTTCACCGCCTCTACAGCAGGCAGGTGGATTTTAGAAATCCATTCACTCACTTCTCCAGGTGTGAATGAAGAGATGCCATTACATGTAGGGTATCACAAACAGGCTAATCTACTCAGTGCCAACAGGTTAAATAAACTTTTCATTTCATGCACAGAATCATTTTACTTAGACGAAGGTTGCGTGCTTTACAGGGAAGAAGGACTGCGAAACAAACCCATTCAGGAGTCGTAAAATGTAAAGCGACAGCTTCAGCCCCAAATCTGTACACATGTAAAAAATACGAATGAATGCATCAATAAATGATACTGTTAAATAATTAAATGGGAGTGTAAAAGAAATGTAAAGCTGCATATTTCCCCTCATGCTTATATGATAATGAGCTGATGTGTTTATACTCACTCACACACACACACACACACACTCACACTCACTCTCAAACACACACACACACACACACACACACACACACACACACACACAGGACCAATCCCTGCCCTGGACATACATCAACAGTTTTAACCACTGATGTGTTTTTAAAAAAGGGCAGAACTAAACCAAAGAGGAGATTTCGGACACACTACATAGCAGCTTTTTATTGACACCAGGCATGGATAAACTTTACTGTGTCTGCCAGCTCTTTGAATGACAGCAGAATTACACAATGGAGTCATTGTGTGGTGGGAGGGTTGAGGGTTAACTGCACGGCGTGCCTCCTAACCGCCCTTTATTTACAAAAGACACGCTGTCACCACTGCCAAATATGTTAGAACCCATTAGCTGCTGATTTGACTTTAAAGCTCAGCCACTCTAATCTAATTTAATCTGTCTCTGTGGCTTCGCTGATTGCTGGAGCATAGCGGTAATGACGCTGCAAGTGCATGTGGGCTCTGTGATGCGACTGTTTGTTCTGCAACAGCAGACGCCCACGTGGAAAACTGCTGCTGCTGCTGCTGGTTTGTATGCAGGGGTCTATTGCATGATCGTTTCCTGTTATTGGTGGAATTAGACCGAGCGGTTCATTTGATCAAAGTAAGCCGCATTTTTCTGCACAAGATCAATACATGTGAAGCAGGGCATGATGGGAAGAATATACATTAGTTTGTGTAGCACTTGTTATTTGGCAATGTGGATGCTTATGCTCAAGTGGAATGATCATTATGCTGGCACTGCTGGCTGACTGAACAGCTGAATGGCAGAGATGTGGAGGGAGATGGAGAGGTGGTACACTGCTTTGGCCTCTGTGCACTGATAACACAGGACAAAAAGAGACAAACTAGAAGAAGAGACGTGGAGGAAACGAGAAAGAGAAAACAAAGATAATGAGGACAACCAGATGAGAAGACCTGTTCTGACGCTCTTCCTTTCCAGTGAAGTCTGTGGTTTCATTTTCTTTATGAATGACACGTGTGCTCTCATTTTGAGAATTCAGCAGAAAGTACAAAACAACTGTTTCTAAAACAGGATGTGAGTAAACTTAATAGTAATATTTTAATGTTCAGCCAGAAACAAAACTGTTTTTTTGGCCAGAGGTTACAGCGTGTCTATTTTTGAGATCTGTGCACAAGAACTGCAAGGGTGTCCCAAAATACTCAAGCTGACCTCAGTGTGTGAGTGAAACATGTGATTTAAGGCTTCTTTACCAGCAGAAAATTGCCATTTGGCTGCTCCCTGTCTTCCTCTCATCCGCTCTCTCTCTGCCACCCGACGCAGTCATGGCGACGGGGCTCCCAGCAGGCTTTGCTGCGAGTTTGCGGAGCCCCCTGGCCCCCGGAGGGAGAGCTGACTCTCTCTTTTCATCAGCAGCCCCCTTCCAATAAAACATAATGGCGCTGAGGCTGCGGGGGAAAGTCATTCAGCCACACAAAGCTGTCACATGAACGGGACGAAGCACAACGGGCTCAGTCATTCTGCTGCTGCCGCTCGGCTACTGGGACGGATGAGTGGGCTATACTGAACTGGCCAGACGCGCAGCATGATCCACAGAGAAGACACCGCTCTCAATGTGCTGAGCTGCCACTGAGGGACAGTGGGCAGGAAGGCAGGCACCCGCTGTGCTCAACTGTACAGCCAGGGTTCAAGCTGAAAAATCTGGTTTTGTGCTGATTTTTCATTTCACTTTCCCGTTTTCCCCCCAGAGTCGCCACCAATTCCATATATGTGTCTATTAGAGCTCTTGTCATTGTAAACCCCCTCCCAAAGGATTGTTTATTTTGTGACCCAAACACACCAGCCATGTCCTATTGCTGCCATTTTTCCACACATCAACATACTGCAAGATCAAAATCGATGCAGAAGATAGATCGTCTTTTTTTATTCCTTGCAGGCCCATGTCTGTCACACTCCACATTTCCAGTGTGCAACTCAGTCTTCTAGCACAGGTCAATATAACTGATTATATCATCAGGGGTTATTTTCTCAGACTGACAAGAGTTTCGAATTAGTGGAGTTCCCCATCAATGGACATGCATCATCACATACTTATGTTCAAAACAATCTGCTTAGCCAGAAAATACAAAAGGAGAAAGCTAGAAACTTTAAAATCCATTTCCAAACACTTTTAATATCTATCAAGCAAAAGTGCAAAACATTGTAAATTAGGTTTCTTTAACCATTTACACCCTGGACATACAGCATGCATGAGCAGATCATGACAGCTTCCTCGCTGCAGTGGCTCACACGCCTGTGCTGCTGCTAACCCTGTTCCTACATCGAGTTTGCCTTTGATAAATACAAAAAAAGCCTTGTTAACAAATGAATGCATTCTGTGCACAGAAACCCAATCTGAAACAGACACAGGAGGTGTTGAGTTAAAAAAACTATTTCTATATTTTTGTCTGTGACACGTACAGATACACTGTAGTGAAAGGTGTTTATGTTGCTGTATAACATTGATATGGCTGAACACATGGTTTTCACTGTCACTACTTCACTTTCTTGCTGGGGACCTTGTAGACCTCTGCTTTCGTGAAGCGTTGCTGCTGCCTTGCAGCTCATGTGAGCAGTGATGCTGCTCTTACCTGTTGACGTGGGCACTAAAGTGAAAATCAAGAAGTTCCGCTGCAGCAGCAGCAGGCAGTGCAGCCGGAGCTTTGCACGTCTTGGGTTCTACCACCATTTTTCACCATTTCAGGCAATTTCTAGACTAAATAATAAATCTATTAATTAAAAAAAAAATCATTGATGTATGTATTATATTAATGTAAATCGTCAGTTCCACTCCCTACTTATAAGAGATTTCCAAAGGAGTATTCTTTTAAAGCTAAAAATCTCACACTCCCTCCTCCTCTCATTAACTTTCCTCCTGTCCTTTCCTTGCTTCCTCCAAGTTATATCCTGGTACAAGACAAGTGGCAGCGCAAGAAGAGAGGAAGCCCCGCTGAACAGGTCTGCAGAAGTCAGGGACATGCTCCCTCACTGGCTTCCCACCTTTGAACACAGCCACTTACAATCTTTGGGGGCCCAGGCAAAGACAGAGGCTCCCCTGCTGGGAAATGAACCCAAGTCAGCGGTGGTGGGCGACTGCTTTACCCCTGCGCCGCTCACACGAGCCTTGCTTCGTTCTGTTTAACATAAAGCTTGCCGTCAGCCACCCACTTCTGGTTCATTTCCAGGGCTAGTCTCTGAAGGGTAAGTAGGGCACTTTGCCATTTCAATAATAGCTGCATTTGCAAAGCTTACAGCTGCAGGCTACAGCCTTTACATGGATTTAGAGCAACCTTACCGACTGTGGGGTAGTTGAGTAGTTATAATCTATTCAGCTGCCCGTGTTTTTTTCTGAAACATTGTCATGGAGTTCATGGTTAAGATCTGACATGCTAGAGTCGTTTCATCCCCATTCCCATGAGCCCTGGCGGATGTGATTTGACTGACAGGTCAGGACTGCCAGTGGGCTGTGAGCCCTCACTGAGAGGCTGACTGACAGACACTGCTGAGAAGTGGATTAAAATGGACAATTATCCTCACAGCACACCAGGCCTCCTGTACTCTATCTGCGGCGGCTTTTGCGTCTACACTACACCAGAGAGGGATTTGCCAGGTGATTAAAGCATTAAGGAGAAAGCAAAAATGAGGATGTTTTTCCAGATCAAGAGCAAACACTTCAGAAACGCTGAAAAGCTTTTGTGTGTTCATAGGAAGACAGAATTAACAGCTGATCTTATTCCCACAGCGGCCACCCTGAACAGCACTGTGTTAGGGAAACTCCTGAATGACTGACACGGAGAGGGTGATGCAGAGAGAATCTTCTATGAGTGTGTGTAATTTTACATCAGTGATACATCGTCACATGGTGGTCCCTTTTCTGGAACATCAACTTGGAAACTGTTTATGGATAAAATAAATTCTCGGGAATTTCCGTGGTTGACTAATCCATTGAATAAATACATGATAAAAACAAGGTACTTCATCACACTAAAATCAAGAGATACAACTTCAATTCCTGCTGCAGTTTATTCAATCTCTAATTACAGCAACCAATAACTCTTTTAATGGACATACTGTATATATGGCATATGATTATTATAGTATGACAGACTTGGAAAAAGAAAATCAGAACCACCGTTATAACGGTGGGTCCATGCCATGTCCATGTGGTTGGAGAAAGTGGTTACAAGATGATAAACAAGACTCAAAAAAAGAAAATAAACAAACATTTTACAAGATTCTTTGCTTCTTTATTATAAAATACTGGATATGTCTCTTTCTTAATAAAACAATCTGAGGAGAGAACGTCACTTTCTCAGATGAAGGCCAAGGGGTGGCACGCAGGCACGGCTTCCATCAAAAGGTTATAAGCTGAGAAGGTTGGGAGAGGTTAAAGAAAAGTCTATTGGCAGAAATGGAATATAATATTCATAGGTATGTTTTCATTAGGTATAATCACCTGAGTATTGAAATTGTTGTGTTTCTGTTACCTGAGAATGAGCCCTTTATTTCTTCATATGCCTTGCCTTCTACGGAGTCCGCCATATTGAACCACCATGTTTCATGGGAGTTGCAATCTGCAACTTCACTGCTTCAAAGTACTAAATCCTACACACTGGTCCTTAATATAAATCTTACCTTATTATACGATGTTGGACGATATCCTGTCCCAGAAATATTCTTAGTAAACAATATTATTGTTTTTCTTAGAACACATTAAGCTACTGACATAATGATAATATATTAGCATAACAATGCAAAGTAAGGGGTCATATTTGAGCTTGACCACATATCTATAAAGGGAGAGTAAAAGGAGATAGTTTTATAAAAAGATGGGCAATAAAAGCCCAATATACAATCAATAAAAGAGGACTTGAACACAACAATTGATCCTCAAATTAGCTACAAATCTTGGGAAACACAGCAATGACACCCTGACTTAAAGAACCTTGACTATCTACAACCAGTGTTTTAGTCTGTCTGTTCTGGGCTACTGTAGAAACATGGCGGTTCATGGCTGCCTCTGTGCAACAGGACACATTCCCTCTGTAGACATACAACGATCAGCCATAATTAGTCGGTGTATAAATGGCTCAGTCTAAAGGTAACAAGACTTCATTACACACTATTGAAAATATACCAATGAATATGATATTCCCTCTCTGTCAGTAGATCCCCTATACATACTGAACCTTTTAGTAGGACTTTGGACAGACCCAACAATCCTTAAATAAAAGCCCAATATTAAATCAATAAAAGAGGACTTGAACACAACAATTGATCCTCAAATTAGCTATGAATCTTGGGAACAACAGCAATGAGTGCCTGAATTAAGACCTGTACAGTAGCTATGTTTTTTAAATTGCAGTCTGATTTTCCATTTTTCACAGGGGAAACGCATGCACTGTCCAACCCTGATCATAATAAAAATTCAGATGAGCTGCAGTTGTAATTCCAGCTCTGGCTTTTGGGGTTATTTACCGAACATGTGACGGAGCACACTGAAGACCGAGCGCTGAGACAATGAAGGCCAAGGTCTGGCGTGCCAGCGTGACGACACTGCAAGGATGAGCAATCATCTCTTTGGTCAGCATCTCGCAGCTGCATCAGCAATGCAGAGGAATAAATGACGCTGCACAGTCAGAGCGTGCAGCGTAACACAGAGGGCAGACAGGTAGCGGGGTTCAGGAGACTGTGCACTGCAGTGGCAAGTGGCTATAACAGAACCTCTGGGCCGGGAGTCTGAAGATGAAAGCTCAAAGCTGGAATTGTACATATAGACAGACAGACAGACAGACAGACAGACAGACAGACAGACAGACACTCTCTTGCACTGCGCGCTGTGTGGAAATCTAAAGCAAAATCAGAGACAGCATACAGTAAGATCGCATTGATATTCATAGAAACCATAAACATAATAGCTTCTTTGCAATGCAGATTTTCTAACAGCATCACCACGCGCAGCACAGGGAGGCTTTGTTGGGACAATATCGCCTTTGTAACTCACACATAACATTAGACACAGCTGGAAAATTCACAGCAAGTTAATTATGTATGAAAACTCTCTGGGCCATCCACATACGTACAGAAAGCACTTTTGTTTTCGCCTCGAAATACAAACACTTGTCATCAGTCCGCCTGTCACCATGGTAAACATATCATTAATAAATAATAAGGCATCGTGAGATGCATTGTCCTCTTCGCCCGTTGTTTGAGCGGGTAGAACAACGCCCACATGATTGCTGCTTGTGTCTGGCAGGGAGAGAGCCTTAAGGTGCTCAAATGTTCACTGTGAGAACCACTGTGCTCTTAAAGATCACCAAGACCTGATCCCAAATATAACATTTTTTATTCTCTCACCACATATATAGAGACCAGGTGGCCATTTAAAGATTAACAACTGAATTGAGATCATTAAAGGATCCCCTCCACTCAAAAATGTGTACAGTTCGTCACTACAGAGGTGTTTTCACATTGTTCTGCTGAAGGCTGAGAGGTCTGTTCACTACACAGATTAATATGCAAATGCATCCGGCAAAGAAACCTGAAACCTCCAGCGCAGAGCAAGCACTAGCATAGTGAAAGTTCTGACAGGAAACATGTAGAGTTTGCACTTTTTGGAGGCAAAGGTGACCCTGAAACTTCCCTCCGCTATCTGCTACGCAAAAACATTGTGACAATGTGAACACTGTAACATTGCTGCAGATATTACATGTTTCACAACCACTAAGGCAGTGTCAGCCACTACACCTACAAGCTAACAACCAACATAGATAAAATATGCCAACACTTAACATTCTGATACATCTGCTAGTTGCCAATTTTGGTGCACGACAGACTCCTCATCTGAGTCTGGGTCTGACTGAGGCTCAAACATGTAGGCTCGGGCATTCATAGAGCCAGAATTTCTCAGTGGAGGGAGAAAGAGTAGAATCCAGCACCTTGTTGTTAGGACTGCACCTCTACCAGTATCGGGTATCATCATAAAACTACTCCGATACCACTTTAGGACAATGGACAGTGAGAGAACCAACTTTTACAACAACATAAGCAACATCTTAGTGAGGAACATCCTGTTTCAAAGTCAGTGTTAGAACTGTAATGGTATTATTAAGTATTAATATCAGTACTCGGTACTGGCAAGTGCCAAAATATAGTCACTGAAGAAAGTGGTATTGGTGCATCCCTATTTAGGTTTTTTAAAAGCTTATAAGGGAAAAACTATGTTAACCAAAATAGTAATCAAAGTGTTTTTACATACTTTACTTTTACATTAACAATTCATATCTTTATGTGTGTTATCACCCATTCTGTTTTCTTGTGATTAGGTTACAGATTTCTGCATTTACCAAATTAAACATCCAGGATCTTCATGAAGTGACAAGAATATGTCCGTAGACTTAAGTGTCAAAAACTGTTGCTTGGTCGATTTCATCTTTGCATATTCTTTTATTAGATTAAAAAAAAAAATTTCATTTTGGACTATTTAAAATTTCTCATACTGCCAGTTGCGTTTGGACAATAATTAACATTTGATACAGGGTCTCTGCAGGTTTCAACAGGTTAAATTTAAGACCCTTTAAGACCATTATGAATGCAATATAAGTAATGTTAACTTCATTAATCCAACACATTTTAAAGACCTGACAAAATCATATTTAAGACTTTTTAAAGGCCTCAAATTCAGATTATTGAATGAAGTTTTATACACACTGTTGTTATCAGTACCAAGCAACACCAGTGTGTTTGTCAAGTGAGAGACAAAATGCTGTCATGTGTTTTTCTCAATTCTTCAAACGCAGAGAAGCAGCCATTGAAGGAAGCTTTGCTTTTTATGCACTATCAGTAATACATCTGAAAACCTGCAAGCTGTGGCTGCATGGAATGCTTATCTACTGAAGCTCCTGTCAGTGGGGTACATCTGCCTCTATGAATGTTACTGCTGAACATCAATGTAAAGCCAGTCGAAAATGAATGCTCGTAAGGAGCTTATAGGGACTTTGTTTACCATTGATGCTTCTCTGCTGTCAAACTGCAGCCCTCCACTGCCAGTACAGTAAGTCAGCATGAATATACACAACACCAAAGCCTGTGTGTGCACAGGCTCAACTTTCTTACCCACCTGTGTTTTCAGAGGTTTTATCCCATGTATATGGTGCTGGTTAACTCTAGATTTGAACCGGATGAAGGATTTTAGTCATTGGACGTCTGGATCTTAAGTTATCAGAGAAACAAGCTGAGCTAACGTTAGCAGCAGCTCGGCTCGCAGCCCCTCCGGGACGTCTGTCCAACAGTGTGGGAGAAACAGGGATTTTTAAGGTGGAACTGCTTTATTCAGCAGGTCCCTTTTAGTATCATCCTAACCCTAAGCCTTTCTGACAAAGTTAATAATTTACTACTCTTTGTACAGGTTTCATCCCTTCATCAACAAATTTGTTTTGGCGAGGAGGAGACGTCTGTGGATAATTGGTAGACTGCAATGACGGCTAAGAACAACATCCCACAAGACCCCCAAGCGTCAGAAATTAGGTATGGTACGCTTAATCTTGATTCATCTCCATCACAGCTGAAACAAATAGTACAATAATCAACATATTCATCCACAACTATTTCAAACGATCAATGAGTGATTTATAAAGTCTGGCCCCCGCTTTCAAATCTGAGGATCTGCTACTTTTCTTTGTTTAATACACTGTAAATGAAAGAATGTGAGACATCATCGCCTTCTGCCGTTTCATCGGCTAAATGTCTCACTGATTAATCAAAAGCATAATCGACATGGGGTGCACGGTAGCTCACCTGGTAGAGCATGTGCCCCATGCAGGCAGGGTCTTTGCTGCAGCGGCGCGGGTTCGATTTCAACTTGCAGCCCTTTGCTGCACGTCGCCCCCCCCTCTCTATGAAGGTGCCATGTTAATCCTTGCAGCAGGA